TAAAATAGGGACAAACCCAGCAATTGGGTTGTTTTGACCCAGCGGTTGGGTTAAATGTTTAACCCAACCTTCTGGGTAGTAACCCAACTGCTGGGTCAAAACAACCCAATTGCTGGGTCTGTCCCTATTTTACCCAGCACTGGGTTGTATTTAACCCAGCATTTTTTAGAGTGTGCTGACTTGTAAAACCCTTTCGCTATCAGAATGGTACCACTGATGTTGCATTGCAGTTATCAGTGAGTAGTGCCCAGCCACATTCAGCCTGACTTTTGTTTATCTCTCAAGTCAGATTGAGAATGCTATGCCAACTATATGACGTCATTGTGAGCCATGGCTCTGTGTGGGGGACACCAGTCACTCTCATGCTGCTATTATGATAATGCTGGCTAGGTCCCACTTATATTAAGTGGCCTTAACACCTCCTGACTACCAGGAAAAAAATTTGTGAATTAGAGGACATCGGGACTTTAAAAATTCCATTTTTTAAAAAAAATAAAAAGACATGAATAGACATGAAACGGCAAAAACAGTGGGATTTTTGTTTAAATCACAAATCAATTTTCATTTTTTATACCAAACCTTATATAAAGATGATTCTCAACTATGTTATGAAAGATATTTTTAAAACACATTTTTCTTTATGAAAAATTTGTGTAAAATGGCCATAAACGAGTTTTTCCATTATATACAATGTATCTATAAACTATCTAATTTGCATATTAATGTGTTTTTGGGGCAACATAGAATGAACAAATAAGTGCAATAATGGGAGTAATAATTAGCAAGATTTTCATAATAATATCTAATATTTAATAGGAATATTGATACATAATTTTTTCTCTATTCATTTGTTGTGTCTCCCAAAATGTGTAATAAACATGCTTTAAGTCCCGGTGTCCTCTACAGTGGACATGGGTATGAAATTGATGTCCTGTTTCATAACAGAAGGTCATATTTTGATTTGAAACCCCATAACATTTTCCTGAGATGTTGATTTATGACAAACAATTTGAAAATTAGTCAGATTTAAATGATAATTACAAAATATTATCATATTTCCATAAGGGTGTAACACTTGATCACTAAATTAATGTCAGCCATTTTTAAAGACCAAGGAGTTTGAGTGGTCATGGTGAAACATCCAATCATTTGGTATCTCTGAAAAGCCCTGAATGTGCTCTGTACAGGACATCCAGACTTAAAACTCTGACATGTAACGTTTTAGAGAAATCGCAAAAAAATTATGTCCTCTACAGAAGACAAAACTCCATATCTGGTATGTACTTACATCAAAAAATAAGTACAATGTACTTATTGTGTTCATATTGTTTTGCAAAACACTTCTGCTGCTATTGAGGTGGGATACGGGTAAGGTTAAGGACAGGTTTGGTGTACGGGTGGGTTTAAGGGTTGGTTAAGGTGGAAGGGATGGGTCAACAGTGTAACTATAAATGTTATTACAGAAACTAATTACAGATGTAATTGCATGCAGTTTTTATATATATATATATATATAAGTACAATGTAAAATCATGTATGTATGCAATAAGTGTATTGTATCAAATATTAATTTGAATGTAAGTACATAGTAGTTAAGGCCACCTAATATAAAGTGGGACCGCTGGCTCATTATATATAATTTGTTTAAAAAAAATGAATCCCTTCTGTAGCAGGATGTCAAGCTAAGTGTTCATCAGGTGTGTCTCTGATCTGGTCTTTTCAAAATTCTGGCAGTGAATGTGAAATTGTTGGCAGGTACTATAAAAGCGCATTCATGTGTTTGCACTAGTTAAGTTTTGCTGTTTTTGAGTGGTCTGAAGGGTGAGAGAAGGAAAGGACACAGTCAGCCTCTAAGGCATGTTGTCAGAGGCTTCCAAACAACAAGCTGATTGGCTGATTGGACAGCATTCTGTCATTAATTGGTGATGTGTTTTACTTTCTGTAGTAATGATGTCATCGGTAGCCAATCAAAGTGCCATGGTGACTGTGATTGGTGTGATCTGATTGGCTATTCAGTTGAAAATAAGATGGGGTTGGGTTTCTCATCATCCAAGACTGATGTTCACTCTGAGCTTTTGCAAAATGAGTCTGCTCTTCCAAATCGATGATCAAAACGACAATAGCGAGGAACAGTGCTCTCAAAACAGCGATAAAATCCTCATTGGCATTTTAGGCTTCTATGCTGTTATTCCGTCTTTATTACCCCAAGACTGCAGCATACAGTGTTGAATTGTAGCTTAATGTCGTTGTCTTGTACTGTCAAAAAGAGAGGGGATTTCCTCATCGCTCGAGGCTATAACAGTGTACTTTAAAACAGAGCATCCATATTTGGTCCTTCGAAATAAACAAAACATATTCTTGCCATGAAAATTGTTATTGACCTCTCTATCCCCCAAATGTATGTTTTTCTTCTGATCTCTTTATTATAGGTTTATTTATAAGCCAGTTGTTAGAGCCATATAATGCTTTATAGAAAGTGAGCACAGTGAAACATGGTAAAGAAGATTCACATTTGGTTTGTAGAGGTAGGTTTGATCAGAGGACGATTTATTTATACCAGTGGGAAGTGAAATTGCAATCTTACGTATTGCAATTTACGTACAATAGAAATGCATTGAAATATACAGAAAAATAAATTGTAAAAATACATATATTCCTCAGTTTGAGGCCAGTCATCCTCTGAATTTAGAGCAGACTGTTATCACAGTTCAAAAGTATTGACCAACCTTATCAATGTCCAAGTGTCTGTCTGTAAGGCGATTCATGTTTAACACCTCCAGCTTTACACACTGAATGATAATTACAAAATATTATCATATTTCCATAAGGGTGTAACACTTGATCACTAAATTAATGTCAGCCATTTTTAAAGACCAAGGAGTTTGAGTGGTCATGGTGAAACATCCAATCATTTGGTATCTCTGAAAAGCCCTGAATGTGCTCTGTACAGGACATCCAGACTTAAAACTCTGACATGTAACGTTTTAGAGAAATCGCAAAAAAATTATGTCCTCTACAGAAGACAAAACTCCATATCTGGTATGTACTTACATCAAAAAATAAGTACAATGTACTTATTGTGTTCATATTGTTTTGCAAAACACTTCTGCTGCTATTGAGGTGGGATACGGGTAAGGTTAAGGACAGGTTTGGTGTACGGGTGGGTTTAAGGGTTGGTTAAGGTGGAAGGGATGGGTCAACAGTGTAACTATAAATGTTATTACAGAAACTAATTACAGATGTAATTGCATGCAGTTTTTATATATATATATATATATAAGTACAATGTAAAATCATGTATGTATGCAATAAGTGTATTGTATCAAATATTAATTTGAATGTAAGTACATAGTAGTTAAGGCCACCTAATATAAAGTGGGACCGCTGGCTCATTATATATAATTTGTTTAAAAAAAATGAATCCCTTCTGTAGCAGGATGTCAAGCTAAGTGTTCATCAGGTGTGTCTCTGATCTGGTCTTTTCAAAATTCTGGCAGTGAATGTGAAATTGTTGGCAGGTACTATAAAAGCGCATTCATGTGTTTGCACTAGTTAAGTTTTGCTGTTTTTGAGTGGTCTGAAGGGTGAGAGAAGGAAAGGACACAGTCAGCCTCTAAGGCATGTTGTCAGAGGCTTCCAAACAACAAGCTGATTGGCTGATTGGACAGCATTCTGTCATTAATTGGTGATGTGTTTTACTTTCTGTAGTAATGATGTCATCGGTAGCCAATCAAAGTGCCATGGTGACTGTGATTGGTGTGATCTGATTGGCTATTCAGTTGAAAATAAGATGGGGTTGGGTTTCTCATCATCCAAGACTGATGTTCACTCTGAGCTTTTGCAAAATGAGTCTGCTCTTCCAAATCGATGATCAAAACGACAATAGCGAGGAACAGTGCTCTCAAAACAGCGATAAAATCCTCATTGGCATTTTAGGCTTCTATGCTGTTATTCCGTCTTTATTACCCCAAGACTGCAGCATACAGTGTTGAATTGTAGCTTAATGTCGTTGTCTTGTACTGTCAAAAAGAGAGGGGATTTCCTCATCGCTCGAGGCTATAACAGTGTACTTTAAAACAGAGCATCCATATTTGGTCCTTCGAAATAAACAAAACATATTCTTGCCATGAAAATTGTTATTGACCTCTCTATCCCCCAAATGTATGTTTTTCTTCTGATCTCTTTATTATAGGTTTATTTATAAGCCAGTTGTTAGAGCCATATAATGCTTTATAGAAAGTGAGCACAGTGAAACATGGTAAAGAAGATTCACATTTGGTTTGTAGAGGTAGGTTTGATCAGAGGACGATTTATTTATACCAGTGGGAAGTGAAATTGCAATCTTACGTATTGCAATTTACGTACAATAGAAATGCATTGAAATATACAGAAAAATAAATTGTAAAAATACATATATTCCTCAGTTTGAGGCCAGTCATCCTCTGAATTTAGAGCAGACTGTTATCACAGTTCAAAAGTATTGACCAACCTTATCAATGTCCAAGTGTCTGTCTGTAAGGCGATTCATGTTTAACACCTCCAGCTTTACACACTGACAGGCAACTAACTATGTGTATGTGACTCATGGCTCTCTGGCAGACGTTTTAATTAGTGATCCAGCTGCAGGAGAATGGAGACTTCAATGTCCATTATAACGGAAGGTGCTGAGATGAGAATGGATGGGGGGTTAATCTCAGAGGGGACAGATTTGGCGGCAACACTGTGGGAGATGCAGCAAAGCATGTCTGTTATTCATGTCTATATGTTGGACTCTGTGTCTGTTATGTGATGACTTGATTTAAACCTGTAATTAATTATTAAAATCCTGACGGGGGACTTTATTCAGTGGCAGCTGCTGGTAAATCGAAGGGACTGACAGCTTGCCAGAGCTTCGGTATACTGAAAGATAGGTTACAAGATTATAGGGGACAGCCATACAGTGCTTGGCTAAACAGCATGATCAAATGTATGTATTCAAATAGGCCATTCCACTGGAACGTTGTGCTTGTAGGTTTGGAAAGTCTGACCACTAGATACTTTCCTTGACCTTACAGTCTTACTCATTTATGGTCCCATTTGAATAAACATTTGTTGACATGAGGAATTCTTGAATCTGGTCCCCAGTCATTCAGCAATAGTGAACTCAGTCAAGTTGCACAAAGGGGAAAGTGTCTGCCCAGCAACAGTATCAGTGTTTACTAAACAATTCAAGCACAACAAATTCACAAAATCAGGAAGTTGTACTGAAATAAATCTATTTCAAAGGAAAAACTGTAGAATAACTAAATCAGTTTTTTTACTTTAGAAAGAGTGGATTTCACTATGAATGTTCTATTTTATAATGAAAATCATTGCATTTTACTAATAAGTCAGTATAACTATTAAAGTACAAAGTGGCTTCTTTTGGAATGAATGGTGGCAGTTGTTTGCCAGGCTCATAAGTTCATCTGGCCTGTCTGGTTTTGACATCTCATGATTTGGCCCGCCATGCCATATCACATTTCAGTGCATTTTATGTTTTTGCATTGAAATGAAGAGAACATGAGTGAATAAAATTTTTAAAAAGCATATTCAGTATAATATAGTTGGATATACTGTATGAAACATTTGCTTTCTCAATCCTCAGTCGAGTTTGATTTTTGGCCCTTTACAAAAAGTTCAGGCATGTCTGGAAATAATGTTGCAACACTGGAAAAAGGAAGTGGCATGGATTAACCCACTTGTTTACCTCAGCGGTTTTGCCAAGAGATAAATTAAAAAAGAAACCAAATGTAATATAATCTTTGCTACATCTTAGGATACAGAATATGAGAGCAGGAACAATTTTCATTCCAGTTTATGTTTTTATACTGATTCCGATAATAATTCATAATGCATTGGACTACGAAACATTATTAGACATATTCTAACAGATT